GATCTTGGCTCACTGCAACCTCCACCTCGCGGGTTCAAGCGATTCTCCTGCCTCACCCTCCCAAGTAGCTGGGACTACAGGTGTGCAACACAACCCCGGGCTAATTTTTGTATTTTTAGTAGAGACGGGGTTTTGCCATGTTGTCCAGGGTGTTGTCAAACTCCTGACCTCAAGTGATCCCCCCACCTCAGTCTCCGAAAGTGCTGCGATTATAGGTGTGAGCCACTGCACCCAGCTCAACATGAATTTTGTTGGGGACAAATCACATCCAAGCCACACCATTCACTAAACCTCGTGTCTAGAAAAAGGAGACTTTTAGAGCTCCTATAGGCTTAGGAAGCTGCCTGGCACCCTCAGCAGGAGCAGAGCTGCCATTGCCCCGAACCCTGTGGACCCCTCCTGTGGGAGATCCACTGTGGCCAGTGGCTTGGCCCATGAGCACCTGATTTCCTCACTGCCACTGTTGAGGATCTGGTGGCTGATACCCTGGTGGGTAATGAAGCCAACAACAGCCACAAAAGGTGCAACTATATTGTAATATAATATAAAGTGTATATATAAAAATTATACATAATAGGCATTATAGAGTGTAGGCACATATATATATAAATATTCTGGCCAAAGACGTGTATTCAAGTGGTTACTAGTTATTAAATATTCATGATCAGACTTATTTATAAATACATTTTATTACAAACACAATTACCCATCTCAGATGAAACACCTAATCTGTCTAATGATTACACACTTTACAGAGCTTCATAGAGTTATCAGTGGCTGAATAAATGCTTTTCAAGGTAAAATATATTCCACATGAAGTCTTATCCAAGAGATAGACTCAAAACCCTTGTAAGTCTTTTTTCTTTTTTTTTTGTTTTTTTTGTTTTTTTTGTTTTTTTGAGATGGAGTTTCAATCTTTCGCCCAGGCGGAAGTGAAGTGGTACAATCTCCGCTCACTGCAACCTCCAGCCCCCAGGTTCAAATGATTCTCCTGCCTCAGCCGCCCGAGTAACTGGGATTACAGGCACCCACCACCACATCTGGCTAATTTTTGTATTTTTAGTAGAGACAGGGTTTCACCACGTTGGCCAGGCTGGTCTCGAACTCCTGATCTCAGGTGATCCACCTGCCTCGGCCTCCCAAAGTACTGGAATTACAGGTGTGAGCCACCATGCCCGGCCTGAACCCATGTAAGCCTTGCAAGCACTTTCATGGACTGCATTAAGATAAAAATGGGTGTCTCCCTCCTTCCCAGTGAAGTAAAAAAAAAAGTTAAAAATGGGTGTCCCATCAAATGCAACAATCTTAACCTCATTCTCATGAGTAGCAACATTTGAGGTTTTCTCCTGTTCATCAAAAGCTCAAACGACACGCTCTGCTGCCTGTGGCGTTTTCATAAAGAGCTGGCAAGAGGCTGCCTAACTCACCTGAAGTACAATCAGATGTACTGTCTTTGAGACATCAGTTTACCACTTACCAGCCATGCAATCCTATCTATTTATGTATTCCATCTAAGTGGCAGTTTCCTCATATAAAATAAGGATAATGAGTTCCTCCATTGTTGAGTTAGCCCAAAGAATAAGTCACTTGGAGCCTATAACCTGCTGTTAGCACAGGGCTTGGCACAGTGTGCCTTGAGTAAACAGTGCATCTGTCTGCTGTATACTCCAGATACTCACGTGTGCCTCCCAAAGATGCACCTGGGCTGGGTCCTCATGTAATTCCTGGATTATTGTGTCCCAGGCTACGAAACCACACCCTACTGAGCTTTGTAGAGCACCAATCAGAGGAGGAGGACGGAGCTGGGAGAGTGAAGTGCAATCCACGCTGGTTTCCTCTCTTCCCCACTGCCTGGTGACCCATACACTCCACCTCTTCCCACCATCAGTCAAGGCAGCAGGACCTGGCTTGGTTTTGCCTGCTTTGCAAAGACAACCTAAGAATGAGATAAATACTACTGGGATTGTGCTTAGAATTCATTGAATTTGTGCTTCTATAATACAAAAGCCTTCATTGTCACATAATGTCCATTAATACCCATACTTAGAGAACTTTCATTGGTCATACGTCACCCAAACAAATTTTGGATTTACTATAGAAAGCCATGAAGCACCCTAAGCATTAGCTCAGTAAGCACAGACCATGGTGATTCACACCTGTCTGAGTCAGGGACTGACATAAGATTGCACCATCCCCTGTGCAGGGATGTGGGGCACAAGGGGCCAGAAGGGGCTGGGGTGGGGAGAGGGTTTCAGTGGTGGGATTTTTCTCTAAGGGTTGTGCTGCCTTCTCCCCTGTGGGCATCCCAGCTTTTGGAGAGCACCCAGGATCTGGAACTTACTCCTTTCTGCCTGTTTGCCACCACTCTAGACCCTACAGTCCTCTGCATTTCCACCTACCCTGCACCTAGAGCTCCCCGCGCACCCCAGGGGACCACAAAGGATGGTTAACTGGGCACCTGTCTCCAAAGAGTTACTCTCCTCTCTCAAATACCCGTTCATACTTGGCTTAATCTTTCAAGATACATTTTATGACCTATAGCAGCAGTATATTCACTTTATTGTAAGTAGGAATTAGGAATATAAATGCAAAAAAAAAAAAAATGTCACATTTTCTCTTCCCATTCTACAGAATAGAATTTTTTTGCTCCATTACATAGGAGCTCGCACTTCCCTGCCTCCCTGTGAGATGCCATGCACCTGTTGCAGCTGCCAGCAGTTGTTGCCCCATGACCATTCCCCTGCTCTACCCCTTGCCCCAACACACTCCCTCTTCCCTTCCCAAAGGAACCCAGTCTTGTGCAGGGGGTTGCCTTCCTCCACACAGCCACAGGCTCGGACACTTCCCTGTCCCTGCTGGTCTTGGGACAAGCAAGGCGCTTCTAGCGGATGGGACAGGAGGGGAGGCTGCTGAGAGGCTTCTGGGAAGCATTTCCTGTTGAAGGGGATTATGGCACACCCTTCGTGGGAGGAGAGGGGATGCCTGGTGTCCAGCACCTGGGCCAGCGGCAGCTGCCTCCACTAGCTGACAGCAAGCTCGGGCTGGGTCTTGCCTCCTGCGGGACTTAGAGAAGCTCCCCTGTAGGCCAGCTGACTCCAGAGTTCCTTCCTTACAGCTCAAGACACCCAAGTTGATGTAACCCACAGTTTGAGAAACACTTCTAGAAAATTCACCTGGAGAGACCCAGCTCAGCTTTCCCTGCTGAACTTTGGGATGACACAGCTGGGACCATCCACAGTGACTCACTGCAAGAAAAGGGTGGCAGGAGGAGGAATAACGACTGTCCCCACACAGCCTCATGAACATTTCATGGGCACCCCGGACACATGCTCATCTTACCAGCACTTAAATATTTATTTTAAAAATCCACATCACTTTGCTTTAAAAATGTTTATTTAGCGCCTGCAATGTACAAGGCACTGTGTTTGGCGCCATGAGGAATACAGAAACCAACAAGGCATGATTCTCGCCTTAGGAAGCTCACAGTCTAGCGTGGGAAATTAGAAATTGCACATGCACACAGGTAACTGTCACACCAGGCAGGAAGCACTAAATGCTGAGATTGATACCAACATTACAAGAACCCAGAGGAAGAAAACACTATTTGGGGATGAGAATGAGATTAGAGAAGGTCCCTTAGAAGTAGGGGGTTTAAACATGACAGATCAAATGTAGATAGGAAAAAATTCAGAGGAAAATGTAATCAGGGAAGGCTCTAATTGAAACCAGAAGCAGGAGGTACTTCTGTGATATGATGGAGGCAGAAGAAGCCCGCTGGGTTGGATTCAGAGGGGAGGGGAGGGGAGGGGCAGGAGGGAGTAGAGTGGGAGGGGAGGCTGGAAAGATGCATGGGGATCAAGACGGGAAGGTGAGTATGTGAGTATGTGTGCCAGGCAATGGCGTTTCCATTTCAATGGAGGTTTCTCAAAGAGAGGTGATCTGGCTGCAGAAAGCTTAATCTGGTGACAGTGGCTTTAAGAATGGGGGAACAAGGGAAGGAGGCCAGTTTGAAAATGATAACAAGGGTCTGGACTCGAGTGATGCGGCAGTGACCATGAGAACAGAGCAGTTGCAGGTGGAAGATGGAGACAGAACTGGGGAGATCCGGTGGAGGTGAGGCAGGCAGAAAGATGATGGCAGGTTTGTACCTAGAGACGCATGATCCATTCACAAAGCCAGGGAAACCTAAACAGGAAACACTCTGAATTTGAGGAGAGGAGGGTAGGGCTGAGTCTGAGACATGGCTGGCCTCCAGGTGGAGGGGTCAAGCAGGCAGGTACAAGCTGGATGAGAATTCAGGGCAGAGGGCAGAGCTGGAAACAGACCAAAAGCTGTCATGCAGTGGCGAGGCTGGAAGCAGTGGCACAGGCCGAGGGCTGTCTCGCCGGAGAAGGGTGGGTACAGCACAACCCTGTGGCCACGTTTTCCTCACATAGGAAATTCCCACAGAACACTGAGAAGGGTGACGATGCCTCCCATGAACAGTGCCGTGTGTCTCTGCGTCCCCGATTCCACACCTGAGAAACAATGTCTTCAGCTGTGTGATGACAAGTAGGAACACTGCCTCCACTGTGGAGGGTCATCTCTCCAATGAGAGTTTTTAAATTTTTCATTATTATTTATTGTGAAGAGTTTTCTGTAATGAAACTGTTTCTTCTGAAGATTTCAGAAAAGCTTTCGATGTCTGTCACCTCACCATGTCTAAGAGGTGGAAGGGAACTGAAAGTCATCTTCCCGCTCATTTCACAAGTGAGGAAGCCAAGGCCCAGGCGGGCCAAGGGTCTTGCCCAGCATCTCACCCAGCAGGGATGGCTCAGCTGCACCCATGAGCAAGGACAGTGCCTGCCCTCCCCAAGTCACTCCCCTGGGCAGTGGCTGCCATCCAGATGCACAGAGAGATGGGGAGGAAGGAAGATGGCGGACAGACAGACAGATACATAGGCAAGAGGGAATGGGAATAACACATAGATATTTTAACTTTTCGAGAGAGGAAAAGGAAAAAATGGCTTGTGATAGACATTTTTTGGACCCACCAAAGCCTTGCATATCTGAAAAGAAAATTACTTTGGCTTTCTGGAAACATTACACTGCATTTAATCAAAAAAATAGACTAAATTATGACACATCACATCCAGTAAGCTTCATAGCAGCCGCAGTAGGAGTGACGGCATTTCATGTTGGTGTCCGCATAAGCGTGGAAAGGAAGTTTGCAGGGAAATAAGGTCAGCAAGAACCAGACCTCAGATTGTTTCACCCAACACAGAAGAAAAACACCCACGGCAATTCCCTTTTGGAAAGTTAAAGCTGATCTCCTTGGAATGAAGTTCCAAATACATCCATTTCCACAGAAGATGGAGGAAAAAAGACAATTACATTTCAAATCTGTAAGTCACAAATAGACAGGCAGAGTTCTGGCGAGCCGTGTCACAGTTAACCAGTTTGAGGACATCAGCGTCTTCCCCCAGAGTCTGTAAACACACAGCTAGTCGATTTCCTAGTGAATGCTTCCCTTTAACGAAGGCCGCTTCAGTCCACCCTGCAGGCCTGCTAGAGTCTTCCAGCAGCACATCTCAGTGGCAACCATCAGATTTTCCAAAAAATCTTCTTTCTATAGAGGATGTAGGCAATGAGCACCCAGAGGGCAGTGGCAACGAGGTTCTGAGTCAGGTGCTCCTTGTGGGACTGGTTGTCTTTCAGCTTCCACTGAAAGGGGAAGTAGTTCTCAAACACCTCGTGGCCGACGTACACCAGAATAGAATTCATTCCTTAAGGAGAGAGACATACAGAAGATCATGTTTCTCACAGATGAGTCATATCTGACCGTCTATTTAATTCTTGAAACCAGTTCAATGAAAAAACAAAAAGTGTGCACTTCCATTGCTGGCTACTGCCAAAAATAAGTAATGCATATCTTAGGTATTTAAGTATAAACCATATAAAAAATTATTGAAAGGCCTGGTGCAGTGGCTCACGCCTATAATCCCAGCACTTTGGGAGGCCAAAGTGGGTGGATCGCTTAAGGCCAGGAGTTCGAGACCAGCCTGGCCAACATGGTGAAACCCCGTCTCTACTAAAAATACAAAATTGGCTGGGTGTGGTGGGGTGCGCCTGTAATCCCAGCTTCTTGGGAGGCTGAGGCACAAGAATCACTTGAACCTGGGAGGTGGAGGTTGCAGTGAGCCTAAATCACACCACTGCACTCCAGCCTGGGCAACAGAGCAAGACTCTGTCTCAAAAAAATAAAAAGGATATTAGAAAATATTCATTTTATAACAGCGTAATTCTTGAATACTAAATCTCAAAGGAAAGCTAAAATTGTTGTTATAACTTATATTTTCTAGGCAGAAAATCTGCCTAGAAATGTAACTATTCCTCGAATCAAACAGCTGAAATGAGGCATTGAAATGATCTGGTGTGTTTCTAAGTCCTTGGGTGGAACTGCATCCAAATCATTCCATTTATCCCTTGATATGACCTCTTGGTATTTCCTCTAATGCACAATCTCTACGGTAGTGGATTTATATTAAGAAAGCAAGCATAGTCCCATTATTAAGAACCAGAAACTGGATAATGTGCCCCGAATCATTTCTGCTCCTCCACAATTTGGTATAGCCTGAAGAAACAGGTGGAGTCACAAACTGTCATACAAGGACTCCACAACCTACATGGGTGAAAATGGGGTGGACTGCTTCGGAGCAGGCCAGTGACACCTGGTGTGACCTGGGACAATGTGGCCCCTGCTGCTTCCTCCCTCAGCCTGGCTTTTGGACACCTGCCACTAGGGCAGTGGCTCAAGACCCCAGCACCGAGGATGCTCCAGCGGTCCCTGGGCCCACCCCCCTGGTCACCACCCCAGCTATGTTTGGGGCTGGAGGTGACTTACCTGGATAAAAGAATGGGGTTCCTGTCCACAGCCCCTTCACATCCACAACCGGATACAGGACCAACAGGATGAAGAAGGCAAAAGAACTGAGCGTGGTGACATACGAAAGGGACCTGGGAGGGGTGGAGGAGGCGTTTCAGTGCTTGTGCAGAACGAATCCAGTTTCAACATGAACAATCATCCATAAAATCATGCTTTTTCCATACATACCAGAGGTTCTTGTTTACTGGAATAAAGCCTTCATTTTCAGAAACTTTCGTCAGAACAACAGAAATGAGCCCCTATAATGGGGAAGAGAAGGATGTTAACATTTTATATTATTATCTCAGAAAACATTTGCTTTCAACATCAATATATATTAGTTATTTAATCACGTAGAAAAGGCTGAAATTTTTCTCTTTTAACTGGAAACATATTTTTTAAATGTATGAACTAAAAAATATTCTCCCAAAATCTCATCACCATTCTACTGAGTTGAAGAGGGTAAGCTTACTGATTAAATGACAGTGACTCCAGAGAAGAGGCATGACTGCGGTCAGGATGAAATACACGGACAGTCAACCTTGCAACTCTCTTTCCCATGTAATCTGGAAGTTGATGTCTGCAACCTGGTCTGATTTGCCCAGTCTCTCTGATACACCACTCCACATAGAGCCCATGCTTCACATTTCTTCAGGCATTCCTGGCTGTCTGATGGCAAACACTGTCTTATTGATAAAGACATTTTCCTAAGAAAATAAATCTGTACATTTAGGTGGAAAGATTTGTTCCTCTCTGCTATTCAAGTGAAGAAAATGGTACCTGCTGCCATGTGGTGACAATGGCTATCTCAGTGTTGCTGAAGATTTTATTCCTTTTAAATATACATGTGAAGGAAAGGAATTTCAGTGAGGAACGCTGCTTACTTACAAGAATACAACACCAAGCAGTGAATCGAATCAGGACGTCTTTGGTCTGAGCCTTGTAATACAATAGTATTTTTCCTGCCTGGAGGAGATAACACAGTGTGACCAAAAGAATCGCCAAAGGGATATTTTTATTTCATATTCATCCACTGTCTTAACTACGCGACAAAGAGATTCACTTGCTGGGCATGCTACTAGGTGCTGGAATTACAGGGAGGAGGGAAACATCACCCCTGCCTTTGACTAGTGGAGGCTGAAGGAGGACCAGAGATGAACGCCCTCTCTGGGAAGGAGGAGGCATCAGAGAGGAGGAGGCATCAGAGAGGAGGAGGCATCAGAGAGGAGGAGGCATCAGCATCAGAGAGGAGGAGGCATCAGAGAGGAGGAGGCATCAGAGAGGAGGAGACATCAGAGAGGAGGAGGCATCAGAGAGGAGGAGGCATCAGAGAGGAGGAGGCATCAGAGAGGAGGAGACATCAGAGAGGAGGAGGCATCAGAGAGGAGGAGACATCAGAGAGGAGGAGGCATCAGAGAGGAGGAGACATCAGAGAGGAGGAGACATCAGAGAGGAGGAGACATCAGAGAGGAGCCACAGAGGTGAGGCCAGAGCACCAGAGGGTCCCGGTAGGAAGAGGCTCCTGGGCAGAATGGGGCAGCAGGCACAGAGCTCGGGGGAAGCGTGAGAGCCACACCACATCTCCAGTGCTGCGAGGAATGCGGAAGCCCAGGGTGTAGGGAAAGGAGGAGAAGAGGCGCCTGGGCAGGCTCCGTGGCTCTCACTTCCAGGCAGGGCCCAAGGAGAATTCTCCACAAAGGTGACAAGGGTCCCCTTAGACAGGCTTGTTCGGTGACCCAGTCTGAGCAGCACTAGGAAGAGGGACCGGAACAGGGAGGAACCAGAGGCAGGGTGGGGGAGGCAGGGAAACATTTAAAAACAGTGAAATATGGACTTTACATACAATCCTTCTGAAATTAGGAATTCATTTTTGAAAATATCAAAGGTTAAGAAGCTTTAAAAATAATTTATAGTAATAGCTAATATTAATCAATGTTTTTATGTGCCAGTTCTTGGAACTTTACATGAATTAACTTATTCAATCCTTGCAACACCTTTCTGAAGTAGGTGCTGTTGAAGCACAGAGTGGGTCAGCCACACGCCTAAGGTCACCCGGCTGGGAAGTGGCAGAGCTGGACACAAACCCAGGTAGTGTGGCGCCAGGTCTGCACTCCTAGCCCCCCCAGTGGACTGACCACTCCAGGGACACAGATCTACCTAGAAAGCATATGTAGGGATTACATGGATGTACGGAAAAGCACAATATCCACCAGAAAGTGCTACAGAGATAAAGGCAGTATTTCTAAATGCAAAATTATTTCATCACCAAAATGTACAGCTGGCCCTTGGACAACACAGGTTTGAACTGTGTAGGTCCGCTTATACGCGGATTCTCTTCCACCTCTGCTACCCCTGAGACAGCAAGACTGACCCCTCCTCCTCCACCCCTCCTCCTCCTCCACCCCTCCTCTTCCTCCTCCTCCACTCCCTCCTCTTCCTCCTCTTCCTCCTTC